CTCAGAATGAATTAAAGACTTGAACTTAAGACCTGAAACCATAAAACTCCTAGAAGAAAACATAGGGAAAATGCTCCTTGACATTGGTCTTGGCAATGATTTTTTGCATTTGACACCAAAAGCAAAGGCAACAAAAGCAAAAATAAACAAGTGGAACTGCATCAAACTAAAAAGATTCTGCCCAGCAAAGGAAACCAACAACAAATTAAAAAGACAATCTACGAAGTGGGAAAAAATATTTACAAATCATATATCTGATAAAGGGTTAATATCCAAAATATACAAGGCACTCATACAATTCAATTGTAAAAAAATCTAAGAATCTGATTAAAAAATGAGCAAAGGACTTAGATATTTTTCCAAAGAAGACATACAAATGACCAACAGATTCATTAACAGGTGCTTAACATCACCAATGATCAGAGAAATGCAAATCAAAACCACAATAAGATATCACTTTACATCTGTTAGGATGTCTATTTTCAAAAAGATAAGCTATAACAAGTGCTGGCAAAGACTGGGGAAAAGGGAACCCTGGTGCACTATTAGTGGGAATGTAAACTGGCACAGCCACTATGGAAAACAGTATGGCGTTTCCTCAAGAATTACCATATGATCCAGCGATCCCACTTCTGGGTATCCAATGGAAACAGAATCATTACCTAAAAGAGATATCTGTACTCTCATGTTCATTGCAGCATTTATTCATAATAGCCAAGCATGGAAACAACCTAAGTGTCCAAAGAGGGATGAATGGATAAAGAACACATGGTATATATATATACAAACACACACACACACATATATATATACACACACAATGGAATACTATTCAGCCTTAAAAAAAAAGAAACGAAAATCCTGCCATATGCAACATCATGAGTGAACTTGTAGGGCATTATGCTTAGTGAAATAAGCCATACAGGGAAAGACAAATACTGCACCATATCACTTAAATGTGGAATCTAAAAAAAAAAAAAAAAAGTCAAACTCATAGCAAGAAAGAGCAGAACAGTAGTTGCCAGGGGCTGGAGGAAATGGGGAGAGGTTAGTAACAAAAGGGTACAAATTTTCAGTTATAGGATAAATAAGGTCTGAGAATCTAATGTGATAACATGATGACTATAGTTGATAATATTTGTAATACATACTTGAAATTTGCTAAGAGAGTTGAACTTAAGTGTTCTCAGCAAATTAAAGGTAAATATTTGAGGGGATGTGTTAACTCATTTGTGGGGACCCTTTAACAACATACCGGTATATAAAATCATCACATTGTACACATTCAATATATTACAAATTTATTTTTCAATCATACCTCAATAATGCTGCAAAAAAAAAGAGAAAATGTTGAAATTTGTTAAGCCTTCTTCAGCCTGGGCCCATGAATAACTGCAGAGAGAAGGGATGCATGGAGTACTATTCAGCTGTAAAAAGGAATGAGGAAGACTGCTATGGCATGCAATGCAATTATCTCCACTTATATGGTTAAAGTTAAAAAAGCAAGATACACAGCCCAGTGGTGCAGCAGTTAAGTGCGTGCGCCCCGCTTCGGTGTCCTGGGGTTCGCAGGTTCGGATCCTGGGCGCGCACTGACGCACCACTTGTCAAGCCATGCTATGGCGGCGTCCCATATAAAGTAGAGGAAGATAGGCACGGATGTTAGCCCAGAGCCAGTCTTCCTCAGCTAAAAAGAGAAGGATTGACATCGGATATTAGCTCTGGGCTAGCCTTCCTCACAAAAAAAAAAAAAAAAAAAGCAAGATGATACAGAACAATGTGTATGGTGTTCCATGTATTATCTCAGAAAGGGCAGAAGGCCTCTAAGCAAAAATTAATTTTAAAAAATGCTGATCCTTATAGAAGGAAACAAGAGGACAGGAAAGAAGCTAGACTTCTCTGAATATACTTTGTCTTGAAGTTCTTACTCTAGTACCATGAAAATTTATTATATCATAATAAACAAAATTAAATCAAAATGAAGGGAATATTAATCTGTAAAACTCAAAAGCAAAACAAAGCAAAGGAACTTTTTTTTCTGGATGGTTTAACCATAAAGAGGAATTGTTTCAAATGATACTAAAACATGGTATTTTGACTTTTTATCTTGAATAGGATATATTCTAAAATAAGAGAAATCTTAAATTGTTTTAACTGTTACTAAAATAACCTAAGTATTGTTAGTTTGAAACTATTATACACACAGAGATGTAAATAATTATGTTAATTTTTTGTCATTAGGGACCAAGATTTTCAGCATTAGAAAAAAGAAACATATACAAATTTGAATTGGAAATATCATCATGAACTCATTGAAATTTTTTTACAAGTATCTATTCTGTTACTTTAAGCATAAAGGCTTTTATTAAAAAGTATCAAACAGGGGCCAGCCCTGTGGCCTAGTGGTTGAGTTCAGCACACTCCCCTTTGGCGGCCTGGGTTTGTGGGTTTGGATCCTGGGCGCAGACCTACACCACTCATCAGCTATGCTGTGGCGGCAACCCACACACAAAAAAGCAGAAGAAGATTGGCACCGATATTAGCTCAAGGCGAATCTTCCTCAAGCAAAAAAAGGAAGACTGGCAACAGATGTTAGCTCAGGGCCAATTTTCCTCAGCCAAAAAAAAAAAGTATCAAAGAATTATTACAAGGTCTGCAGAAGGAGATTCAAAGCTAAGCATCTAGACATAATGTGTATGTCATATATTTTTCTAGAGACCTGGAGAGAGAAAAATCTTAATCTCCCAACATTACAGCTAATGGTTTGCTTCAGTATGACACATATCTGATGCTTGAATATAGTCTTGATTCAGAAATTGCTCAGTGTTGCTATGGGACCTAATCATTGGTATCATCTTATAGTTTGTTTTCCCTTCAATGAGTTTTACTAAACCTGCATAAAAGTTTCCACTCCAGTTTCTGTGTGTGGTGGTGACAGAAAGGCTGAACTCAATTTGGTAGCACGCAAATATGGGACAGGCACTGTCACTGATTTATAATTTTTCTCTTTTTTTTAGGCTTGAATCATTTGGATCCAATCCTTGCATTCTGAATGCATTTCTTTTATAGACTACTTATACTGGCAAATTCTTAAAAAAAAAAATGGAGTTGAGAATTTGTCAATATAGTACTTCACAGACCCACTGCAGCTTACCTTTGAACTTTTCCAAAGCATCATTAGACCAAACAGCCCATTAAAGAGTACTAAATCAAGAATATAGAGTAAAAAATAACAGACTAAGAGAGAAGGCCAAGCTAGAAGTCAATGAAGTTATCACCTAGAGAAATGGTTTAAGAGGTATTTTATTGTTGATAGCTTATTTATATGTGCCTACTTGGCAAGAAGTATGGATCAGTCATTTAAGTCTAAAGATCAAGGGACAGAATAAAAACCACAACCATGTTGGTCCTATCCCACCCTCCACTGTCAGTTTCACCTGATGGAAATCCTTCATCAGCTCTAGAGCATTAATGAGTAGGAACTGGAGCTTCCTGACTGCTCTTATTGGCCTACTCCTTTCCCATTGGAACGGCTACATCAACCTAACCATGTTTATAAGTAGATGACTGCTATTTTCCCCATGGGCTCAGAATGGAAGACAGGATTTTCATGGAGTTAACCAGAGCTGGTGGAGGGGGAGGGGCAGCAGAGGAAGGGTGGAATGGACAATGAGTCCACACAGTTTTATATAGCTGGAAATGGAAGATCTAGGGACTTAATGACTTCTGTGACCCTGAATACCACTTTTAGTCTTTCAATTTTCAGAAAGGGTCAAATTGTACTTGTGTACTAAAACCATACATCTTCTGCTGGTTCTGAGTTGTCATTCATCTCACACTTTTCAGAAAATTTTTGTATTCTAAAATACTCTATAGTTTAGAAGTTATCTTAAGTGACTTGTAATCAGTTCCTCTAAGCGTCTAGTTGCTGGGGTGATATTAGTACAGCAAAGCAGCACAAGAAATTCTAGCTGGGACACACTATTATGTTTTACAAATTTCACAATGGCATGTTATTTTTAATAATCATATAGTCAGTAGGATGTACAGAAACAGAGCTCCTCTAGGATACATTAATTGTGCTTTGAATAGTTACTACAGCTATTCAGTACAGGGTGAGACACTGGATATTTGAACAATGCTTTTCAGAACTAGACTGTAATCTGAAGATTTTGATCAGAAGTCACACATATGAATAATCCATGAATGTAGACGCTGTCTATGATGAAAATACAGTGCTTATTAGTTAAAATGGGAGATTACAGAAGGTAATGAAATGAGCATCATTTAAACACCAGAAGAGTATGTGGCTACGGAAGATTATGATGTTACCCTAAGGTATTCAGAGTTTGGGAGTAGATGTTAGAAGTAGTCCAAGCTTTGGAGCCCAGCCAGAAGTTTCACAGGTGTAACTCAATGCAGAAATGATAGAGGTTTACATACCAAATCTGAATTTTTCATGGGTTTACATGGGTGGGAACATGATATTGTATATGTCCTGCAGAAAAAAAACTCATCTCACAAACACGTATGTGTATATATGCGTGTGCCTGTGTGTTTTGTTTTCTTAAACAAGTGTGCAATTCCTGTCACTTGCAATTGAAATAGTCCCTATACATAGGAAAACCACAGCCTGAGATTGTGATCCTTTACAGTTATGTCATGTTAATAAGCCCAAACAGGCTTATTAAGGAGAACATCCTGCCCTAATATTAGGGTTAATTTGATGAAATCAGAAGGATGAGATTCCTGGCTAACATCCCAGATCAAACAGCAGACAAACCCGAGTTTTAATCCAGGCTTTGGCCCTTACAAACTGTGTGCCCTAAGGCAAATTACATAATTTTACTGTTTCCTTTCTTCATTAAAAGCGAAAATAATATCTGTATGGCTGCCCACCTGTGTTATATAAAATAACGTGTATGGCACATATGCAGACACCCCGGCCCGCACCCACCACGTCTTAAGCTCTAAAGGCCGAATACCATTCCGGGCAGCGGACAGGAAGGGGCGGAGCGCCGGCGGCCGCGGGGGCCTGAGCGCCGCTGGGGAGGAAGCGGCGGCAGCGGGAGGCGCAGGCGGAGTCCGGCGGCCGCTCAGAACCCCCGCCCCTGCCCGTTGCAGCCGTCTGTCGGGGGCCCGCGGGGCCTGCGGCGACCCTCGCCTCCAGGCACTGGGCGAGCAGCGATACCGGGTCCATGGCCACCGCGGCGGCTCCGTCCTCCTTGGCCCTCAGCGTCTCGAGCCCGGCCGCGGCCGCCAGCTCCTACGGGGTCTTCTGCAAGGGGCTCTCCCGCACCCTGCTCGCCTTCTTCGAGCTGGCCTGGCAGCTGCGCATGAATTTTCCGTACTTCTACATCGCGGGCTCCGTGCTCCTCAACATCCGCTTGCAGGTACACATTTAGAGCGCTGACTGAGCAGCCGGCCTCCCGGGCCAGCACAATGGCGTACTCCCGGGAGGCCCGGAGGCGAAGCGGCGCTGCGGCCGAGGAAGTCCGCAGTCTCGCGAGAATGCCTGGACGCCCTCCGCGACTGCGCTCTCCCGTCTTAACCCGGCTCCCAGAGGGTGGCGGAAAGCCTGCGGTGACTAGGAAGAGGAAACGCGCGGTTTTCCGGCGGCAGCTAAGAATCGCCCCTAAGGCCCACGACAATATGTAAGTAGCTGGGCATCCTTAAAACAAAAACAGGACAAGCAGGATGCATTACAGAAAAAAGCTACTAAAATTTTAAGGAAGAAAAGTTTTTAAGTGACAACAAACTTATGGTCCAAATTAAAATGAGAAATCATAAATTCCGGGAATATTGGATTGGATTGTAAGCAAGACGTTGAATGAGTAAGAAGCTGAAGATCTTAAGGATATGATGTGGAAGGCGTATATTTCTTCGTCCCACGAGAGAAAACAATGACAATCAGAAATTTTAAGTGAAAAAAACCTGAAACTGTACAGGAAGAGCGTCTTTTTAGTACCAAACAACGTAAAATGCTGCAGGATTTTGAACAGAGGGTTGGAGTGTAAGAAAGTGGACTCTATTTCAGTGTCCCTGTGAGTAGCATGTGGTTCAAGACTTTGGAGCCAAAGAGAAAGAAATCCAGATATATAGCACAGAACTTGGCTGTTTAGTGACTAACACTTAAATAATCGTAATAATTAATATAAATGTTGTTTATGGTTTTCATCTTTTAAAACAATTCTTAATTATGGTTACAAAGTAGAATGCAAATGTTAGCAGCCTTGATAATGTAAAACAGTTTTCAAATGGGGACGTTGAAGGGGGAGGGGAAGGCAAATGTAATAGTAGTGGGTGTTTTTATCAAGTGGGAAATTGAAAGATAGTCTGTTGTTGATGAGGGAAAAAATGCATATTATTTACAGAGTAGCTATAAAGTTGCTAAAATAGTAATACAACTATATTAAAGAGGGAGGAGAGTAGGGGAGAACAGCATGAAGTCAACAAGAAATGCCTAAAGATGGAGAGTTCAGGTGGAATGTCTCAAAAAGAAAAACTGGGAGTAGCTGGTGTGTTTGAATATGGAGTCAAGAGATTGTTATTCAGTCTGAAGATGAATTAGTGGTCTGCAGATTTTTTTTAAAAATTAAGAAAACAAAACTGAGGCAATTATGAACCCCAGGAAAAATAAGGTTTTTCAAGAAACTACACTGCATACCTCAGCTGCAGTAATACTAGTCATATAAAGTCAGTCGTAATTATGAAAACATTGGATACCAGTGTAACAAGAAATGATTATGCAACATTGGGATTGGAGAGGGGAGAGCTGTGTGTGTAATGGGGGGAACATCAGTCAAGATCTAATTTAGAAAAGTCAATAAATAAACAGTATAAACATGTTATTAGAAAAAGACTGCAATAAGAAACAGCTAAGAGTTAAAAGTGGTTGTCTCGGGAGAAAAAAAAAATCGGAATGGTGGAGAAAAGGTGGAGGATTGCTGTTATCCACTCCCGGTCCAACAGTATTATTTTGATTTTTCTTAACTGTATATATATATATTTCTTTGATTAGGAATTAATTTAAATAAACTTCATTTTTAAAATTCCCAGGTAATTGAAATGTACACTATTGGTTAAGAGCCCCCACGGTAAAATGGGATTGAGTTTTTAAATCAGGCAGACTTCTGTTAAAATACAAACTCTGAATTTTGTGGTCTTAGGTGAGTCGATTAATCTTCCTAAACCCCAGTTTCCTCAACTATCAAATGAGGGTAAAAATATCCACCTTGAAAAGTCAGCCTGAGAGTTAAAAGTAAACCTGCCCAAGTGCTTGATATATACACAATAAACAGTATTTGTTATAACAGAATATCTTATTAACGTGAATAAAACTTAAAACCCACTCATGGAATGCCTGCTTTTCCAGTGGAGGTTTTATGTAGGGTACTGACCCTACAGGAGTGGAGAAGAGCCTCCAGGAAGATTTTAGGTAAGACATTTGAGCCGAAAGGAGCCATTATTTGCCAAGGTAAATATTTAAGTTATTTGCAGTGTTCTGTATTTCCACTAATTGTGTCCAACAAACAAGTATACTCTGGGGTTGTAAAATAGGCACCCCCTCCAGCAACAGGTCTGGCTGTGGGTAATTGTTCTTCCTTCCCTTTATTCCTTGTCTCCAGCCTACTATTGAGCACATCCTCCTCTTTCTACTTACACTTTCTTCTACCTTTTTTTTTTAACCTGTGTTTTAAGGCTAAGCTTAGATTTCACTTTTTCCATTGAGTTTCTCCCAGATTCCTCTGACCAGATTAGAGTTCATGTCTTTTACTCCTTTTAAGGGCTCTGTTAATATCAACCTATGCCATTTTGGTATGCTGCCTTATTTTTGCCTAATTGTGCATTAATTATTATATGGTTTTTTTTTGTTTTTTTTTAATATCCAAGAAGACAGGTTTCTATAATCTCTTCCCTTGGTAATTGCATATTGCTGTTATCAAGTGCAGGAACTAAAACATTTTAGTCTAAAATATCAGAAATGTAATTTGATCAGTGAAATGATTCAGTAATGCCAAGGGACTTACAAATGGTAGGCATCACTATTCCCTAGAGGCACTAATGTCCCAATTTGTAGCTTAAAAGAATGTGACTGCCATTAGCCCTGTAAAGGTGAGACAAACGGATGCTCCATTTGAGTGGCTACATAACATGTATCTTCTTCAACCTTTTTTCTTCAGGCTTTTGTTACACTGAAGAAACCAAGGCACTTTAGCATTAATTATTTATCATATCCTCCAACTAGATTGGAAGCTGTGTACTGTCCAGTTTTACAGCCTGTATTATCAGCACATATATAGTAGGAACTGAATGAAAGCCCCATGATTTACCATTTAGTCTTCACAATTGCTCTTAAACCTAGATGTGTATTTTTCTTCCCACATGATACAACTCAATGAAGTTTCCCAGGGAAGGAAACAAAATTTTTGCCCTGACCAAACCACTTATTCTAATTTACAAGTAATTTTATTCCTCTTGGCATCCTTCCAGGTAACATCCAAAGATTTTGTTTGGTCATTGCTCTACCCCCCACCTACAGCATTGCCTAATACAAAGTAGATAATAAATATTGTTGAATGAATGCCAAATTAGTTGGTTTTACTATACATAGTCATCAGTCAGTAAAGAAATATTTGCCCCTGATATTAAGGTGATCCACTTTATTGCCCATAAATTGAGCTTTTTCAGGCCATCATGAATATTGGTTGGTCCAGAGATCCCTCAAGCATGAAGAAGCAAAGGGGTAGTGTTATTCTGACCAATAAAGAACTTGTTTATGAAGTGTAACTTTCATAAAAATGCTGGGGAATGGTGACTGTGTTACAGTTTAGCTATAAAAGGGAAATAGTCATCATAGTAATATATATAATTTAAGGATTAGAGAACAAGAATTTTTTAATTGAAGGTAAAAATATGTGTGATTACTTGGCTAGAAGAGCATATCATCACTATCAGCATCATTTTTTAATTTGATTGAGTTTTTAATACTTACCAGGAACTATGGGAAGTTGTTTACATACGTGGTCTCTATAATTCTCACCTCTATCTTATGAGGAAGACATTTTTATCATCATTTTTCAGATAAAGAAACTGGGGTTTAAAGAGGTTGAGTAACTTTCCCAAGGTCCTAGTAACTGGCCAAACCACAACTGAATTTCAGGTTTATCCCTAAAGAGTCATTTGATGAGGGATTCAATTTTTTTTAATGTTTAGATAATTCTAAATAATCCTGTTTCTTTCCTTAGATTTTCAAACAGAAGTATTACGTGGGTGACAGTTGGCAATATCTTTTTTTAATGTAATTATTGAAGGCTTTATGTATTGGAATATAAATATTCAATATGACCTGATATATAAAATCAAATATTTTATGTTCTCTGCTGACTAAAGTCATTTGGTCTATTTGTTGGGGAGAGAAAGGAAGGGATTGGAGGGAGACAGGAAAGGACATGGAAAGGAAATGCTTTCCTTCCTTTGAAGGAGTACAGATCCGATAATCATGAATTTTGAAGCTATGTCCGTCACTGCCTTGAGGAAGCCTAACTAAATTTTCTGTTATAAAATCTTGCAGTCCTATTTTAATGGGTCTTTTCCTGGTGGAGCACTAATAGCACTTGACAGACCCAAGAAGAAAATAGAACTTACACTTAGAAACATAAAGGGTGGGAATGGAAAGTTTAGGAATATAGGGACAAAAGAAGAGGGAGAGGAAAATCCTAATGCCAGAAACTTTGAGCCTGGAAAGTAGTCTGAAGAGTAGTCTTGGAAGTTTCCAGGCAAGTGGACCAAGAAAAGAACCCCTGTGGTACCTATCAGAATTCTGAACAATTGGGTTGGATTGAGTCACGTCAATTTACTTCTTGGTTTACCGTTAGTGTGGGAAGTGTCTTGCAATTTTAATGAGAACATTTGATACCCTACTGCCCAGCACTAGGTCATGAATCTTTTTGAAGCTTAAGTCAACCCCCCCCCCGCCCCGCCTGCCCCCAACAAATACAAATCTCATCAGTGCTCTTGGGACAACTGAAAAGCTGAAAGACATTCCTGAGTGCCTGCAACAAATGAAAAGAAGAAACTATGGAATTTTTAGTAGTTTAATTGCAGTACATCTGAGGGCACCCCTGCTGGTTTCTATCCTAATTAGGAATCTGCAGTGAACATTAGAAATCCTTGACCATCCTTATGGCTTTCACGCACCATGTGGATTTATTCACAGTAAGGTAAGGGAGTGCATCAATGAACAATAAAGAGGAATGGAGGTTGTTCATGTATTGAGTGAGCTGGGTTGGGTATACCTTTTCATATGAACCAAAATGAGGAAAAATAAAACATCACACAACCAAAAGGCAAAAATCACTAATGTAAATACTGTATCTAGAATGTCTGGGCTCTGAAATCACTGGCACGGTAATAGAGATTGTCCAACAGGTAAAGAAACACAGATATTTAATTTGAAAAAAGCTGTTCAAGAAAGTATTTTAGCTTTTTAATTGATAAAAAGAAAACTTTGAAAACATCTCAAACTGAAGTCAAAGAGGAATATAATTAATAGAAACTTTAAAACTCAGAGGTCAGGTTAGATCTATATGAAAGGGAAAAGAAGTTATTTTTAAAAGTAACTCATTTAAATGTGAGGCTAAAGCATAGGGGACTGATATACAAGTTAATATAGTGCCTTTGTCTTCTGAAGTTGTGTCTACATGGTATCCCCCAAAATTGCTAAAATTAAAATAACCCGTCACCTGTGATTTTTTTTCTGCAAATAACCCTCCTCCAAAAAAATGTATTGTCTTTTTCTGAATTGATCAAATCAGCCATCTGAACAATTTTTAAATGAAATTTTATTGTGGCCATTCCAGCCCAGGGCATAGATCTCTATGTACAGCATTAACCAATGTTGCAGGTGAGTGGACTGTGGAAATACATGTTTTGTAGATGGACCCTGTTTTCTGTACTTCAGTTAAGGAAGCCCCTGGCTCAGAGGACATGAGGTTTAATCAAGAGCAGCAGACAAAATACTTGAACCATCAGACATGCAACATTGTCACGTTCTTTGAAATCTGTATTGATCCATGCATATTTCCACTGGGACTTTTTCTTTCAAGACAATATGGCTTGAACACTAAAATATCTTCTCAGTGTAAATTCTAGGCCATGAACCTCTTTTGGCATGAGAGACAGGTTATTTGCAGCTCCCGGTCTCAGGTATGACAAACTGAAAAAAGTAAAACTCACTACATCAGGACTATAAAGAGGTTACTGTGGAGGGAAATGATTGGCAAGAAAGCAATGACAATCATTTTATTTTCCCAATAATTTGGTCCCAGAATAGGATGCAGTTCCCCCCAGACTGCATGGGACTAGCTATGGATGTGATAGTAGTGGCTTTTCTTGGATCATGGCTGGGGTCTCTAACACAGGCTCTTGTTATGGAAAGGGGAGGCGCAGAGCCTAATCTCAAAATGCTTTAATAGGAGAATGCAATATGTC